ATTACAATCACGGGAAAATGGATATTGAGAGAAACAACATTTACAACAAAATTGAAAATATCATGGACAATTTTCAAACTTCATTTTAATTACCTTTGCGACTTCCAGGACATGTTCACCAAGATGTTTATACCTCTGTACGCAATGGCGCACTTCATGTGATTCTGATAGATAGGAGTTGTTTGTCAATCCTGCAACCTTTTGAACTAGAAAGTCAACCATATAATAAATTAAAGTATTATATACAGATGTGTGCGTAGTGATGCTTCAACATAACGAAATCTCATAAACTCATCATTTTATAGCCACTAGGGGGTCCACATAGAAGAAAAATCAAACAAAAAGGTCTTATGGGAGGAATCTCATTATTAAGAAAAATAAGCAACTATTTAGCATCTAAGACTCTAAGCAAAGCATTCTAGCATTTTCACAAGTCATGGATGGAGCAAACTAAAAATAAGCACTAAAGATTTCCATGATGTTATTCAAAACTATAGGAGGATAAACAACCTGGAATGTTTCTCCGTTGTGAACAATTTCTTCAGCTATAGGGTCATTAATGTACTCGTGTAATGGCATCACAACTTCCTCCATGTTGTACGGGTCACTGCTCTGAACATAACCTGAGCCTTTATGCTCTTGACCATCTCTCTGTCCAGAAAAGTCAGTACATTACAAATAATATGCGAAGAAGAAATACTGCACTTCAGCAGAAATATCCCAAAAGTGCATGAGAGCTGCAGAACCAAAAGGGTCAACTCGTCCAAGCAGTACATAACCAAAATAACATACCCGAGCAAAAAGGTCTTCCCTCATCCATGGAACCAAATATTTCCATGGCCAGATATCCAGCGTGCTTACTCCTTTAGTCTTTGAACGTATACGTCTTGCCATTTGTGTTGCAGAAGTTAAATTAGGATGTACCAAAAACCTAGCAGCTACCTCTACTGAAAATTCATAAGTACTAAAAACACGGTCAACCGGATCCCTAAGTATTGTCACAACTGATGTTCTCTCCCTGGGAAGTTTAGACATCATGCTATAGTCATCATGAGTAACCAACAACCTGCAATGTCGCTTTCTGCAAAGCGTATGGACTTAACATCTATTAAAAATGCAAATATATGCAAAATTAGGAAAGGAAAGGGTTAATAAAAGGGTGACAGAATATTATAGTTCTGTCGGCATCCAACTTAGTAGCTGACTTCAGGTTTAGTTTTACTTTTTAAGATGCAAACCTAGTAGAAGCACATATGATACCCTTGTGATTTTTCTTCTTTTAATTGTATTTTTCTCCAACTTATGACTCAACAAGTAGAATATCAGTCAAAATAGAAAAAGATGGCTGAAATGATAAATGATAAACCTTTCCCCTCTCCAAGAAATGGAGCTACCAAATTCTACTGTATCTGTCAAGTTTATTTTCCAAATATAAACAGCCTTCCTGCAAAACTTTCTCAACACAATTCTACAAACCACTCAAGCCTACAGACATCTCAACTGTAAATCAATCATACCCTTGTAACATTTCAATGCTCAAAAATAAAATAGTATATACTTGAGTTTTCTAATGCTTTGTTGACAAAATTATTTGAACTTAGAACTTAAATGATGCTAAAGTATTGAGAATTCACTGAATTGAAAATGTCAAGAACAAAAGTTAACAAATAGAACTCAAGATGTTACCTAGGATCAAATCGCAGCTTATCATAAGATCGAGGGCATTCCAGAGAGCTGTAGTACAACTTTCTCAAGAAACTGCAAGTGTATTTATAGCCAGAATCATGCATTAATACAGTTGTCAAAATTATGGGTGTCAATCTAGCTTAAAAGTTGGACCTATGCGGAATTACCAGTGGAAATAAGTACGCCCTCCTGTTCTGGGGACATGAAGAAAAAACAGCAAATCCCCCAGTGTGTGTTTGTCTTCTTTAACTTCTTGTTCAAGTGAAGAAGAAGCCCATTTTTTGACAACTCTTTCACAGTGACCAAAATCATTCCTAAAAGGCGAAGCATTTGCTGATACAGAAGGTGTGGATGAGTTATAAGAACCCCAAGAATAGCATCCTGACCAATATAACTAGGCAAGTAATTGCAACGAAACGAACCAAAAGAAAACAGAAAGAAAGTAACCAAAAACAATTTATTCAAAACAGCACGGTCCCCATTTCGTTTATTACTCAAATGGGTTCAAATTGCATAAGGTTCACTCCAGACAATCCCACCTAAACCGCCCCGAACATATATTTAGTGTACAATATTACCAAGACCAAAAGTGCTAACTTGAAGACTATAAATTACGAAATGATAAGAACAATTAAGAGCAAGCATAAGAGACATAAGTTGTGTTCGATACATACCGAATCCGAGAAGCAACAGCAGGATAGAGAATTTCAGAGTAAGATCCATGCACCTAATTCCTATTCTCCAACCACTGCTGCAAACAACAAAATCAACAATATCCAAAGTTGGCATCTTTCAAAAGAGTTCAGAAAAATAAAAATACGTATATATATATATATATATATATATATGTATGTATGTATCAAATGAAAAATGAGTATCTATCAGCAAACCTTTAAACTAATTCTATTAGCTGGTGCAAAATTTTCCCAGAAAATTCTCTTATTTTCCTATCAAACAAACAGGATTAGAACCCAAAACCTCAAAATTCAAAACAAAGACCAGACATTTCCGGAATTACAAAGCCGAGATATGGAAATATGCAAACTTATAAGAGCCCACAAAATTGAAACCCTAACGACAATAAAGCGGAGCGAGAAAAGGGGGGAAAGGAACAAAATTCGATACCTGTATCGAAATCGGGGGTGTTGTGTTCATAAACGGTGTTGGGAGTGTAGCAGACAAACGGAGGATGATGAATGAGGGATGACGGATGTGGTCCCCACCTTTCAGAACCTTTAGAGATCCTGAAAAGGTAGGTCTGTCCAACCCACCCGGATTAAAATTTTCTCAGCAACCAAACAGCCCGATTTTCTCAGGATTTTTATCACTCAATCCCTCTGCGGTTATGTGTGAGGATGGTCATGTAAAGATACAGTGTATCTATCTGTTTGTGTATACAATTGTGCGCGCGCTACTCCAAGTGGAAAGTTTCGTTGCAATGAAAGAATGAAATAGTTAGAAGATTGGGTCAAAAAGGCTTTTTGGGGGACACTAATTTTGTATTGTTAGTAGTGCGACTGTGCCAGTGCGACACAGCGTGTCCCTCTTATCTCATGGTTGGACAATAGTCGTCCATTGCTTTTTTAACTCGTCAAAACAAACTATTATGATTTTTTTTTTGTTAGTTTCGTATGTATTTTTGTCAAAATGAGTCACATAAGGCTAAATCAATGAGAAAATATTAAAAATTAAAATGAGAAAATTGTGGCAATGTTCTTTCAATTTTAATCCAACTGGAGCAATGGTCGTATAATTTTTACCCCAATTAGAGAAATAGCCTCCAAACTTTAACTCAATTGTAGCAATCGTCCTTCCACCCTGACTTATTTTGACGGAAGTTCTAACAAAGTTGACGGAAACAACACGTTTTGACGAGTTAATGAACTAATAATCACATATTTTTAGTTGAGAGATCAAGACTCCAAGTTAAAATTAAGAACTATTGCTACCATTTTATAAAATTACCATAATAATACAAGGTGGGGGCCAAAAAGAGTGGAGCCCTCTGCCTATCCGCACTTGCTGTTTTGTCATATGCAATGCTCCTTGTGCCCTGGTGCTATTGTTTCTTTCACGTTCCCGGGGCAACCACCGCACACATCCTATGCTAGTTCGATTTCTAATTTTGAGTTAATCTGTATAACTATTGCACCACTTACTCTCATAATTTATCGACTGAATTTGGTCTAGTGAAATTAAATCTTTACGTTGTCAAAATAAATCTTGAATTTAAAAGCTTGTTTGGTAAGTGCTTTGTTGAAGATCAAATGATAGAAATTAATATGGTGTGTGAGAGATAAAAGGGGTTTGTGGATAGTTTCACTCTTAAATAACTGAAAAGTTTTTAGAGAAAATGTTATTAGACTCCAAAAGCACTTGAAGTGCTTCTCCAAAACTAACTGAACACCTCCATTGCCTCTCCATTGCCTCCACCACCATAATCACCCTAACTACCATTTCTGCCGCCACCACCTTTGCTATGACTCACACCCCACTCCCATCACGCATATTTACTGTTTATTTCATTCTCATGATATTTTTCACGATTTTCTTTTTCAGAGCATCGTTCTCAGTGTAAACTATCAGACATAATTCTCAAAATTTAAAAATGCAAAATTTTGCTTGCCATTTTCGTTTACCAATACAACTTTGACAACACTATTTCAAAAATATTGCCATGGATGCCCTTTATGTACTTATAAGCAAAAAAGGAGTTATGGAAGGAGGTGTTATAATTAGCACTAGTTTGTGGACTATGAAAATCATCTCAAACAGTAGAGAAAGAACATTCGATAATATGATGAAAAAAGAAATGAATAGAAGAATGAGCACCAAGTACCAGGTTGTGTTCCCAGCATACTAAAAAATCTCACTAAAATAAGACTTCATTACTTAAGTATTTTAGAAAAACAAGACCAACTCTTACCCAATCAAATATAATAAGTGCTCATTTGCAGTAGCGGGGCCTATATTTGGACTCACAATTCTATTATGGGCAGTCTAGTTGTTACAAGGCTTCTCATTTATTTTGTGTTTTAGCCCAATTTCATAGGGAACCAGATGAATAATATACAACAGGCTTCAATAAAGTAGGCACTATTATATACAAGGAAAACGATTTTCTAACATCATTTTTTTACTTTGGCATAATATTTTTCTTTTTCGCACTCTTGTTAATTTTTTTTGTTATTCATTCTTTTATTTATCCAATCCAAGTACCAGAAATAAAAATAAGGGCGTGGGAACCATTTCCCTAAACAAATTATAAGACCAAAAAGAAGAGAGAAAAACACAAGGAAAAAAAAAACTGGTAATTGTACATATGTAAAGGGTAAATTTATTAATCAAAAGAATAAAAATCAAATTACAGCTTGTGTGGAAAAGACTGAAAACTCAGATTGCAATAATACACATGCAACCATATGATCTGAAAAAAACAAACCCTATCAATCAAACAAGAGAGTTCTTAGTTAATTTCTTAACCTCATGGCTATCTTTATCTTGGATCAAAAGTGGAGTGCCATCCTTATCTTTGATCTGAGATCCCAATGAGAGGTCACCACCAGCTTGTTTCTTCTTGTTTTCCTGGGCACAGAAATACGAATACAATCCCATCCCAAAAATGGCAACCAGAATTCCAATTATATTCCTCTCAGTGAAAGGGTCATGAAGTAATGTGTAGCCGAACCCTAGAACAAGGCATGTCTTAAGGTGGCCTAGCACTTGATATGTAACAGGTGATGTCTTGCCAATTACTAAGAAGGTGCTGAAGTTTACAGACACAGCTATTAGGCATGAGAGTATGATGAATACCTGCACACATAAACAAAACATAACGCAGAAATATGTTAGAATCTGAAGCCACATATTAAAATAAGCATGCACCTAATTGATGATGTAGATTGATTGTTTGACAACGTATGGCTAGAGAACGTTCAATTATATGTATTTTAACATTTAGATGTGCAACTTCTCTTGTTAAATAGGTTGATATGTTACGTTGTCATATTTTATATCAACTAGAACTATGAATCGTGAAAATGTTTCATTGAAATTAATCATGCTTGTTCACTTCTTAAGCAGTCTGACATGCTATATAAACTACTATATTAGCACTCCAAAAACCTAATTATGTACTCCTTATAATTGTATTTTTCTTTCTAATTATAGAGTTTGGGGGTGCACAATTAGATTTTTAGAGTGCTTATAACAATTATATATATGTATATTATTTTTTTCAGATTATCAATCATAACCATTACTCTTCATATCTTAATAGGCCTGACATATTATATATACCAGAACAGTTATTATTTTAATTGAAATCAATCATGGAAATATAAATTGCAATTAGTGTATGAAAAGAAGAATCTACCTACCAAAACTATGGAAGAATATTTGTGGGCAAAGACATTTTGCTTGGTGAGGAACTGGTCGACCACAGGGCCTGATACAAAAAGAATAGCTGCTTGAAAAGGGGCTGATTGGTAGAGAAGCTGAGTAGAGGAGACATTGAGCCTTTTCTGTATTGTGTTTGTTAGCTGAATTGGAAGCTTAGTTAAGAATTAACTTGTTCTACAAGCAACTGAGCCAGATGAGCCACCCAAAAGAGACTTGAAAACAGAAGGTAGTTGGAAAATAAAGAATAAAAATTTGAAGTGCAATAAAATAAAATAAAAAGAATATCAAGGATACAATTTGTCCAACACAGGTTGTCACGATGGCTAGAAGAGAGAGAATAGTTCCAACAAAATTGAGCTGGAGGTCTGTCACTGAGGCAATTCCAACTCCAACAACTAATAAGAAGAGAGAAAACTTGATCTTCTGGCTGCAATAATTAAGATAAAAATAAAAGGGTTACTAATTTTGAAATATATATTAGTATATATAACTTGTGGAACTTCCATTTAAAAATGCTTGATACCTGAATTGTTTTTTAAGGAAAAGAGTTTCCAGTAACACAGTAAAGGGTATAATTGCAAGCTTGGTCATCTGCAAAAACAAGAATCCAAAATGTTATAACAAAGACAATTGTGCAGAACATATGACACTCGACGGTGCTACATGTACTATATCTACCGCTCATCTTTCTCGTACAGATATGACCTAAAATTAGAAAACTAAATTAAATTACCTGGTAGAATCCAATGGAATTGAATCCGAGGCTCAAGTTCAGCAGCCCAATGGAAACACCATTTAGAATACCAAAGAGCATGACAGTCTTCATGTCAATTGATTTACTCTCGAAAAATTTGAGACGTTGTGCCGCATGAAGGGTGCCAAATGTTACCATCAGATGCCAACTGGTAAGTGTTGTTGCTGCAAAAAAAAAAAGAAAAAAAAAAGATTATTGAAATGAAAAAAGAAAAAAGAAAAAGTTTATTACCAAATGAGGAAAGAGAAATTGATCTATTACCAAAAGGGAAGCCGAGATTGCTCATCAAAGCTTTGTTGCATATAACAATAGAGACAGATGATGCCACTGAAAGAAACAGTGCACCAATAACGCCCAATTGGAATCCAGCCATTTCTCCCATGATAGGATTGTACGAGTTTCTGCTTTGGTACTCTATGATCAATAAAGAATCGATGAGAATATTTTTTTTGGTCAACGAAAGAATTGATAAGAATATGACAAGGAAAATAACAAATAGATAGATGAGTAAGTACCTTTGAATTCAATGAAACCAGAAATCCTGATGGGAGTTTAGGAGCCCCAGAAACCTCAGCAAAGATAACCGATTGCAACAAATGATCAAGGCTACTTGTCAACCTTTTGAGATGATCAAATGTGCCAATTATGATTTGCTAAGGATTCATATGTATGTATATATATATGTACAATACGTAGCTAAGAATCTTACAACTCCATGCAACCCTAGCTTTACAAACTGATGGTGGAGTTGGATATGAAAGACCAAGCTTTAATTGAACCACGAACTCAGAGAGAGAAAAAGAGAGAGAAAAAGAGAGAAATGGAGAGAGAGAGAATAGTATTGCCGTGGCAATAATTGACTTGTATAAGAATGCAAAGGTTTTGCACCCTTTTTATTTTAGATGGTTTTTGTGGTTGGTGCCAAACGCCGTTAAATTTAAAACAATATTATTTGGATCTTCTATTTATCTTTTTTTTCTGGGTCGAAGGATATTTTATTTATCACATGTTCCTTTCCTGTTTATTCAGAAGCAAGTTAACGGAAAGTATAAGCAAACCTTGCAACTGACAGTCAAATAAAAATGACCGTTAAGATGTCAACCTGATATTAATTTGAATCCCAGAAAGAACCTCCCCCTTCCTAGTTGGAAAGTGAATTGGAAAAGAGTCTTTGATGCACATGATGAAATTTTGTGCACCAAGTAATTTACTTTACATTTGAAGATGACTTTTAAGTTTTAACTCTCAAACGCATGAATTGGATTCATTGCTTGGTAAAGCAATTTTTGATAATCTAATTAAAAAACCATTTTTAACCAAATAAAAAAATCCCATTTTCGACAAAAAAAAAAAACACAACCTAATTAAAGATCTCTTTTGCTGATTGATCGAATTCATATGGATTTTGGCATGATATAAGTCCAAAAATTACCGTCATTCAGTATTACAGTATGATATTCCTTTTCACTTATAAGTAAGAGGCTTTAGGTTCGAATCTCGTGAATGGCGAATTTGATACCAAATTAGGTTGCACATTGTGTCGTTTAGCCGAACTCCTTCTTCTCTTAGTATAAAATATATTGTTATACTTACAAAAAAAAAAAAGTCCAAAAATTACCATGGTCAATTTTATTTTTGTCAACAATTGATGTTTCATCTTCTAGCTAGCCAGTAATCATTAGCGACTGAGACTGATCAAGTCTGATTAGACCGATCATGTCCATGTATTTGGTGGGAGGGAAGACCAATGGAATTTTCTTTGATAAACTTCTTTGCACACCATGACACTGGTTGAAATATTAAGAAGTCTTGGCAAACAAGCCAGGAAGGTGAGGTGAAACGTTTCTTTTATGAGGGTGAGGTATCTGCAATTGCAAGCAAATTGTTTGGCACCCTCAACCTCAATTAGTGTCTGGTGAAAGAAGAAACTTGAGTCCCACTCCAATTTATTTTTTTTGGTAAACAAAAGAAATATTGGCCCATCGTTTGCCCCTTTTTATGGCATCACACACCAAGACATATAAATGGAGCAAACAAACCTACCTTTCAGAATCTTAAAACACGATCGGCTTTGGGGTGACACGCATTTTAGTTCATGAATGTGGAAGTCATAACATTCTATATGTATACATGCATGGTACTGCAGTCTTGAATCTTAGCTGGTGTTAAGTGATATCTTCTGATCATCTAGCTCAATGTAGTCTTATATCCTAGCTAGAACGTATACTTTCCAAGTAAACATTTAGAAAATGAGTTCAAATGTCAATGGCCATTAATTTGATTTACTAGTGTGTTCAACTTAACCTTTATTAGAAGAGAGTCTGAGTTCAAATATCACATGTGATTATGGGTAATAAAATCCTCACAATAGTTTTTGTTATTATCCCTGCAGTCAAGGAGGGAATAGATAAATTAGAACTCAACACACCGGTATGGTGTGAGGCAAGGCCTATCTGATGTCTAGGGTAGATTCAGAAGATGAATGAAAATTCAAGAGTTTAGGGTTTCTTGTAAGAGGAAACCATTACTTCTCATGAGAGCTGATGGTGGTGCATGTGGTGTGATTTGGTTGGAGGGTTTGAGGCCTATTATCACGCTTGTCAAGTTAATTAGATAAAGCATCTCCAATGGAGATTTCAAAAGAAGAAAAATGTCAAATGTGAATTTGAAGGCCTATATGGCAATGCCAAATTTTCTTTTGCTCTAACCCATATGTTTTTATTATTAAGGAATTTTAACGAAAAGCTCCCAGTATGGTAAATTAGAACTCAACACACCGGTATGGTGTGAGGCAAGGCCACTCTTCAAAAGAAAACCAATCAAAACTAATTTTCATGATTTTTTACTGGTGCATTATTAGGATCCACACAACAAAACATCTAAAAAATAAAAAACATGTCAAAATTGACAGCACACAATTCTATGCCAATCTACATAGGTCAGACGATTCTTAGTAATGTAACCAGCGGCAGAGCCACCTTGTAGTTAGAGGGGTCATTTGACCTTGTGAACTTTTAGATTCCATTATTAATTTATTAATGATCTACCATTTTCTTATATATTGAACCTTGTGGCCAACTAAACAACTTAATCTCTTTTTGTTATTTGACCGAAGAAACGCTAACAAAAAATAAAAATCTTTTAGCCAAAACCCAAGTACTTACTGCTGACAAGTTGCTATAGTCACAAGTGGTGTATGAGAAAGGCTAAGACCTGGCGCACCTTTCCTGATTCGAAAAGGAGATATTCTTAAGAAGTTCAAATTCATACGAGTTTCCAGATTTGAATTTCAAAAACCCTTCTACTTTCCATTCTTTTTTCTTCAAGTATATTAGTCAATTAGATCAAAACCTCCTATAGTCCTATTCCAACTTTCCAATACTCTTTGCTTATAAATACCACTCATCGATCTCCTTCTCTTTCCCATCAAAACTTAAACAAACAGATAGAGAAACAAGAACTACTTCGTCTAATCGTCTCTCTTTTGTTAGCAATGCCTAATTCTCGTGGGAAGTTTGGTACGTATCCGCTTCCGTCTTACGGACCGATAAATCATTCGCTTCTTTCTCCACAAGATTGTTGTTGAAAGAAAACCTTTGATGCCGCCGTACGATAACCTTGTGCATGAAGAGGACCTCTTTGGCACCAAAGAACCATGGAATATTTGGGAAGAATACGGAGGAGATCAACACTATAATCAAGAACTATATTTCTTATGCAAGGTCAAGAGGTTAAACTCGATGGGTTCGCACATCCATCGCAAGACTTATCATGCAGGTACTTGGATTGAACTCAGTGAAGAAGAACTGGTTTACTATATATGCAGAGGAAAATGGAGATCTCAACCCTGTCGGGCAAAAAAGGAAGTTTTTATACGAGAATCAAGGCTCGGAGCAACACGCAGGGTGGTGTTTAGATGAATATAGTCTCCTTGTTGGAGCTGATGGCCACGATCCAAAGGTCTCCAAGAATTACTATACTAATAGGTATTTTGATCTTGTGATTTGTCGGTTGAGGAAGAATGAGAGGTCTTACGGTTATAAGAGAAAGTACAGATCTACGAAGGAGATCACAACTTAAGTTACTGGGTTTGGGTCAAGTTCAACCCCGACCTGTTAATTTAATAGGTCATCCAAGCCTAACCCGTTAAGCTAACGGTCATCCAAACTTAACCTGTTAATCTAATAAGTCACCTGTTTAACTTGTTAACAATTTTTTTTTTGTTTTTTGTTTTTTTCATTTCATCCAAATCAAATACAGCCCCGTTTTGTATAGTATAATTCGACTTTCTATCAATTATATGCGTCTCCGAATCTTAACATGGTTTGGGAAATTGTTTATCAACTAAAACACAGTAATTCTCTTTCTCAACCAATGTCACACTACAATGGCTCTCTTTCTCCATCAGCGTCTCATTGCAGCGCTTCTCTTTCATAACGAAAAATTCATCTTGTTGCAACTAAAATTTTCTCTATGTCAGTCAACCTTCTTCTTGCATTGCATCCTCTGCTGCTTTTTTGCCAACATTTACAGTAACAAGTCGAATTGATGGCTTTCGTCCCTTTTTCTTTGGGGTGGGTTTTGCAGTGTCTTCATTCACCTATATGGTTTAAAATTTTGAGTCAGAGAGCCAGGAGAGACGTAATAAAATGATGCAAAGGGACTAAATTGGAACTATTTTTCCTTGACAAGTCAAGGCCAAGGTGGTACTTTACAAGGTGCAAACACAATTATATCACAAAACACAAAGGATGCATGCAGCGTTAAATGTTTCTATTCATTCGGCCCAACATAAAGAAAAAACTGGATAAAGAAGTGAAATTTCCATTAGTTTTGATACCAAATGAACAATAAAAGTAAGCATCAATCTTGCATAATCCGATATTTTATTCTAAACTACTCTAGTTTACGATCCGAAGGGAATTCTACTTCGGGTGCAAGGGGTGGACGCCAAATGGCCTAACTCACATTTGTAAGAACAAGTTTATAACACCTTATCTAAGAATCAAGCATTCATCCAATTGAATCACAACTAGTTTAAGCTTTGTATTAAACAGACTTAATAATTAAACCCTTAGAACATACCTACATTGTTCAATCCTGATGAAGAAGCTATTGCAGCCTCAGTGTTCGAAACCTTCTCCTCTTTTACAATGACAATAGCTTCTCTAATCAATAGGTCTTCGAACAACACAAGATGGTATCGCAAGAGCAGTGGTTTGAACCATATATATAGTACTCCTCTATCCATTCCCTATTAGAATTGGACTAGAATTCAAAGTTATACAAACCATAAAGATTTTTTATACCATAAAGATTTATCCCAAGACTTGTAAGAATCATACTCATACTCTTACATTCTCCCACTTGACTATGATTCATCACAACAAATAATCATCTCAAATTATTATAAAAGTGATCAAATAAGTCATTTACCATCACACTAGTACATAGACACAACCAACTTACATAAACCAAAACAATGAATTTATAATTGCCTCTGCAACACAGAATGCAAATTTAACTTACAAATCACAATGTCCAGTTCATGTTCATAGCAATGTATCTAAGCTTAAGAGTAAACCAAGACATCTACTCCCACTCATATAGCCCAAAATTGATATAAAAAATACCAAATATTCTTGACAGTAAGCTGTCAGCTTAAAATTATTCATAATTGTATAAATATCACAGTTATGATCCAATCAACATCATTATCATATTCATAGAAGCGATCACCAAATCTTTTGGATAACAAAAGCTTAACCTCACATACAACTTACCTATGCATTTTAAAGTATTGAACTTAAGAATCTTTTCTGTTACATCGCAGAATTAACTCAAAAGTCACAACATACTTAATTTGCACTTTGTAATTATGTGAACCAATATAGCAAAACCAAACCAATTTGCTCCCACTTATCTAGGCCGTACTTAACACAACCAAGTTAAGTACAAGTTAATAGCAACTATATTAACTAAAAATCATTCTAATACAATGAATAACTAATCAGAATCCATATGGAAACCAAATTCGTTTCCTTTTGAATGCTAACATAATAGGATCCTTCTCATTACTTAAACAAATTAAGTAACACAAATAATTCAATCAATTGCTTCAATAAAGCCATAAACTGGTTTTTAAGCATCCAAATGAATTATAATGGCCGGCCTAAATACTCTTAGCCTTATGCTTACATTCGAACATATGATTCTCCCACTTAAGCATAAGCAGAATGTATTGCACAACCGATAAAGAAACCGGAGATATGAATCAATTGGTTCCCGATTCCTCACCAATTGCATAATCTCAGTTTAGTCATATACACCTAAACCATTATGCAAACAGTCTATGTATGAAAAGATAGTCACAATCCATTCGGAAAAACTTATCTCACATAAACCCAAAATCACTAGTTTCAACAACGATCAAAATCAGAATAGCAAGCACAATATTTTTGCATTCAATTTGATCCTAACTAGTTCAATAGTTCAATATCCATCGAGCAAGATCAACCAAATCTTGATAATGTCTGGATATATATCACAACAATATGTTTTGATTAAAACAAGATAACCAAGACCACTATTTCTTATGGAGAGCTCAAAGTTCAGCTTCCTCCCTATTTGTGATTTCAATCAATACATAATAGCGGAAACATGCATCATAAATGAAGTTACAAATATACATATACAATAAGCATGCATCTTAAACTCCATGATTTTCACAATAGAATAAACAGACCATAGACAATAACAAGTCTATTAATCCTAAGATTTATACATGATAACATAAGTTGACAATAATCCAAATTAAAAAACTTCATATCTTTAATTCATTATCAACACCATCATCAATTATATATAGATTCGTAAGCAAGTCATTGGAGAAAATAATGACATCCGCTTATCTTTAATCTTATGAATTTCCAATAAGATGACAAAATAATTATTTACTTTCCAACTCATAATAGAATATACATTTTGTAAATGGCTAAAAGTTTAATGTCGCAAGAGTCATTGTAGGCGGTCAATAAAACATCTACCTTATATATTCATCTGTATGTGTTGCTCCATAGCACCCACAAGCTTTCATATTTGACGAAAATTAATATCATAGATTTGCACCGTATAAAGAATACATGATATGCAGTCAATTCTATTAATTCCAACCAAACTTGACATAAATCAAGCCAATTGAAAATCAATAATTGACAATAAGAAGTGCAAGTGCTGCTCCCCACAATTAAATATATTGTGATTCCAAACATCTCACGTAAATCACAAGGTGGCATCTATAGGGATTTCGAGTATAATTATGCCTTCACAATATACATAAATAAACAAGCATATTTGAAATAGCAAAAGCCCTAATTTATTATGCTCCAATTCATCGCACTATAGAATCATGTATATAGGAAAACAATTAATCATGCATGAAATAGTGAAACAGAGTTACCCGAATGCATCACTGGACCCATATTCGTCAACCCGACTGAGATTCCTCAACTCCACATCAAAGAAACAAACTATCCATTAATGCTTGAGAACCATCCATGCGGATTGTCATCATTCCAAATTCCCATGGACCTCGCCATTGTTACAGACACGCCGAACCAAAATCATCAACAAAGTTATCAGCAAGAATCCCATCGGCACCAATTCCCAAAAAAAGACAATTCTCATTCATATTTCAATAAAACAAGAGATACAATAGAACAATGAACGAGTTAACGTCAATAGGAAGGGCCAGAATGATAATCTCAATATGCAGATAACATGATCTTTGTTCAATGGTTCTTAATAACACAATTAGCATATCAAAATACAAGTTTATTCATTACACTAATAAATACAAGGAGGATTAATAAGGCAAAATTATCTCAATCTGCAAACATCATAATCAACACAGCGAAAGCAATAATTTCAAAAAGTAGAATTATGATGTTTAAGAGAGATGTATACAACTAAATTACTATACTTATCATCAAATAAGCAAGCATGAAAAAGTTCTCTCAACCCCAAATTGAGAAACACGGGTTGCAGAATCTTGACACCAATTTCATTTAACTCAGTCTAAATGTTAAACAAAATTTAGGAAATTGCAATGAGATTTCAAAATACATACCCTTTTATGAATGGTTTCAGGATCGTATCAATCTCATCATCAATCTTGTCTTAAATTTAGATTTAGATGAATGATAAGTGGAAGATAAGATTCTTCGAAGGACAGTGAGGGAGAGCCCTTTTCAGAAGAACACCATAAAAGGTAAAGACCCAGATCTCCCAACCAACAAAAAATCTAGTTATTAAAATATTACCTAAAACGACACCGTTTCGCGATTCCTTTTCCAACGGCTCTATTATAAACAAAACGACATAGTTTTTGAATTTATGTATTTCTAAGACCTAGTTTGGGAGTGAGGTGCTTAAAAAAAAGCACCCATGAAAAAAAGCTGTGAGGGTTTTAGGTGTTTGGTAAACTGAAAAAAAAGGGCTTATTTTGGAAGCTGCTGTGAGAATAAGCTGAAATCAAAGGAAAAAGCTGAAGCTGCTATTTGTAGCTTTGGAAAACTGGTTTTTTTTCAAAGCACACGGAGTTACAGTGCTTCTTTAATGAAAAGACCCACTATTAGACTGCTTTTTTTTCTTTTCCAAAAACACTTTTACAAAAAAGTTTACCAAACACTCTGCTGATTTATTTCACAGCCGCTTATTCTCACAGCACAGCCGCTTATTCTCACAACAGCTTTTTTTCAAAGCACAGCAATACCAAACCAGCCCTAAAGCTCAGTTCGAAAACCCAGGCAGTGAAGTTGTATGCAATATTTCTTAATCATAAGTCAAATTCAATTGTTGAATCTTTATGACTTTGATACCACATGTAAGAACAAGTTTATAACACCTTATCAAAGAATCAAGAATTCATCTAGTTTAAGCTTTGTATTTATACAGACTTAAGAATCAAACCCTTAGAACATAGTTGCATTGTTCGATCCTGATGAAGAAGCCATTGCAGCCTCTGTGTTCGAAACCTTCTCCTCTTTTACGATGATAATAACTTCTCTAATCAATAGGTCTTAGAACAACACAAGTTGGTATCGCAAGAGCATTGGTTTGAACCATATATATAGTACTCCTCTGTCCATTCCCTATCAGAATTGGACTAGAGTTCAAAGTTATACAAACCATAAAGATTTATGAGACCATAAAGATTTATCCCAAGACTTGTAAGAATCATACTCATACTCTTACACTATCTACCAATAGTTTTGACCTTCTACTTCCTGGAACATATATATTGCAGCCCAAAAAGCACCCAACTGCTGAAGTTTAGCTCAGAAATTGACATATCAGGTTCCAAGAATGCAACTTTAAGCTGGGAAAATTAAAATGAGATCAATACAATCGTGCTTAATAGCAGGAAATGGGTGGCTTAAAAATTCAATCTTTTAGACTTTTCAAAGAGTATAATTACTAAACAGACGAATACCCAATTGGTTTTGGGCAAATTAGGCACTTGAATGTTCAACTAACTACTTATAAGGTTGAATAAATGCAAGCTCAGATTAGTTTTATTTATAAAAAAAAAAACAAATTGTCAATCCAATGACAGCTAATCCTCAATGCATAACAAAAGTAATGCTTACAATCAGTAAACTAGATTTTGGTATCGAGGAGACTGGGACTATCAAGCATGCCAGCAATAATTGAGAATATGAAATAGCAAACGAATCTAATTCCAATCGATACCAGGAAGGTTTGAGTTGGCAGAAACAATCCAATTAACGAGAATGCAGATGACAACGAATGCATTTTCAGAGAATGCAGAAAATAAGCTTCCATAGCCTCCCATAATACATTCACATGTGGCTAATATCATTGAAACCCGTTAACCAAATAGCATAAACAATCCAATTAACGAGAAAAAAACACAAAATATGCCGATTGTCACGTAATTTAATGAACATCAAGAAATAAAGTAAGGAAATTGAGAGAAATTGAGAGAGCAGCACAACAAAATCCTAGAAACCCCAAAATCTCCAATCCAATCACACGTAAACCCTAGTAATCGCCATGAAATAAGAGGTGGAAGGGAATCGGAGTTTACCGAAGAGAGTGGTGGAGTTCAGTAAAATTTCTGAGGGAGAGAACAGGAGCTAGAACCAGAAGCAAGGAAAACTTCTCAGAGAGCAACGGCTTGCAATGCGAGACAGAGTGAGGGTCTTCTATTATTGACTATTGAAATTACACAAAAGCTCTCAATAACAGGTGTTAATGAATGGTTAACGGGGTTTCGCGAGTTCATCCAAAATAACCCGTTACCAGCCGACCCGTTAAACACTCATCCAAATACTCATTTTAACGGGTCAGGTCGGATTGGATTAACGGGTGAGATTTAAAATGCCAGGTCTATCGAAGTGTACGCAGGACTGAGTGGCACTGAAAATCTGTACCAAAAGTTTGATAGAGGTTGTAGTTTCGTTTGTTCATTAGTATATGTAATGTTTCTTTTATCGTTTATTCTTTTAGTTTATTTCTACAAACTAATTTACAATGGTATGATTCTACTTCGTGTACTCTTAGTTTATCAATTTTCCATATTTTATACGGAAAATTTACATCCAGAGACAAACACAAAGCATAAACTTAAATCCACTCACCATATCCGCATTGATGGAAGTACGAATTTAAAAAGAAAAAACTCAAAAGAAAAACTCTCAGAATAAGGTTACTTGCAGAACACGTCACTAATTACTTAACATCCTAGTTCAGCCAACCTATCATCAGGGAAAGCACAATCAACTACTTCTTGCTTCCTCGGCAACAAATAGCACGCCTTTGGAGTCACATTGCTTGTAATTCCCTCACATCAGTGCAGTTCCATTGCAAGTTCATTGGCTTCTCGGTCAGAGTGATTGTCCCATCATTAGAAATGATGCATACCCCCTTGAAAGGATCATTAGGAATTCCCTCCAGTCTCGTTGAACAAGTAACATTCTCAGCCGCAACTTGTTTGTAGTTGACGTTTGTAATCAAAGGCAATGCTTGAGGATCGAAACTGAGGTCCTGTTGGATTTTTGAATTGACGGGTCCGTGGGACACTATTATAACGACACCGATATTATTTCTAACTTTACCACATGCCTAATCCGTCAGATGTGGAGTTTTACTACAGAAGGCCTCAATATTAGTTGGAGTGGGGTAATCATATTTAAACCCATGGTTTTCTTTTTCACCCACAGATGTGGGAACTGGGGTCCTGTTGGATTTTTGAATCAGCAACTTCACCATCTACTATTGTCTCCAACTTCACCATCTACCCAATCCGTCAGGTGTGGGGTTTTACCACAAAAGGCTTCGATATTAGTTAGAGTAGGGTAATCATATTTAAACCCATGGTTTTCTTTTTCACCCACCAATGTGGGATTTCAACATTCCCCTTCACGTAAACTCAGAGGTCGACTCTATGTTAAGAGTCAAGACTAGAGGCCGGCTCTATGTTAAGTGTCTTGGCTTGTTTCCTTCTTGGTGACAAGCTCGTTAGCTTGCACGGGCCCGAACCTTAGCTCTGATGCCATGTTCGATTTTTGGATTGGCGGGTCCCGTGGGGCCCCACTCTAACGATACTAATATTGTCTCTAACTTTACCACTTGCCCAATCCGTTAGGTGAAGAGTTTTACCACAAAATGCCTCGATATTAATTAGAATGGGGTAATCATATTTAAACCCATAGTTTTCTTTTTCACCCACCGATGTGTGGGATTTCAACAGGTCCAAGTGTGACCCCGGATCCTTTTCCTAGGGATCCAAGGATCCCATGATCGTGACCGTTCATCGTACATCTTGCAGTCAGTTTTCGTTAGGCACTATTTAGATTTAATTTTAAATTTTAAATTTTAAATGATTTCTGACCACACAATGTACGATAAACGGTCACGATCACGGGATCTTCTGGATCCTAGGAAAATGATCCGGCGATGATCATTTTCCACCTGTAAGAGCTAGTCATCCAAAAACATACTTCAGTCTTCAGGTCCTTCTTAGCCATTTTCTCTCCTACTGAAACGCTCCTGCTTTTCTCTCCAGCAGGATCCCCCTCAAATTCTCAGCCTTCGCCGCCGACTCCTTCCTCTGGTTGGAGTCGGCCGGCTTTCCCTTGCTGCTCCCCCTTTTCTTATCCTCTCTAGCCCATTTCCCTCACCCTCTGGTCATCATTCTCCGCCCTTTTCTCTCCTGCTGCAACCCAACCCACTACCCATACCCTTAAGTCCTCCCTCTTCCCCTATCACGCCTTCCCTCCTCTGTTTTTTTTTCTTGCGGTGCTTTTTTTCTGTTTTCATTTTGGCTCTTTTTGAGCTTTGTCTTAGTTCGTTTGAGCTTTGTCTCAATTCTTTGAGCTTGTCTCAGATCGAAACCTGTAGACGCCTTCCTGCTCCGATGTTTCCTTCTGTCGTGAGTCCACAACTACCAACCCCTGCTTCTTAGCCCCGGGTGCTTCTCATTGGTGACGTGCTTGGGTTTTGGGTGGCTGTTAAAGTGCTTTTTGCACTATTTGGTAGGATTATGGGAGCATTCACAACGCTGGTGGCTCGCTCACCCCCATTTTCCTTTGATCTGGTTGCTGTTTTTGGTTCGATTTTTTGTGGTGGTGGCCTTCCGATGGAGGCGTGTCAAATTTGGTGGTGGCTGCTGGTTTCCTCTTTATTAGTAGGGTTTCTGTTGTCATTTAGCTATGCCTTTTCGGCTTTGTGTTGTATTTACTTTTTCCTGTTGGGCTTGTATTTCGGTTGTGAGATGTCTTTTGGACTCTCTTTTCCTTGTACTAGTCTGTTTGTTTAATGGAAAAGTATCTTAGTTTGTCAAAAAAAAAAAAGTCTTCAGGTCCTCCTTAAATAGATATATTTGACATAAGCTCATCTTCCTACTGTAGTTTGATCCTCACGCTTGAGTGTGAATGGCTGTCATGATGTCCTCAGCTCTAACATCGCTGATTCCACTGCCTAGAGCAATGGTAGCATTGTCAGGTGAAAAGCAGGTGAGTCTTCTGATAAAAAGGTTCTCAGTTGGGATTCCAACTTTGATTCCGTATTCGCCTTATCCACTCTTTACTACAATTCAGTCATCCCAGATACTATGTAGTAGTCTTCGATTCTAGTTTGTGAACAAGAGAGAGAATTTTTTTAGCATGTGGTCAACACTGTAATGTAATGTTGAATATTATACTGGAAAAAACATGTTTATTGATAGATGAAAATACCAACTACAAAGAGGTCCTTATATAGAGAAAGACTAAAGCAAACCCTAGACAAAAACCCTAAAACAAATCCTAGACAAACTTAAATACTTAATGGCAAGTAACTAATCCTTGGCCCGCAAGATAACTAATAACAATCTAAATTCA